GAGTCCGTTGACTCCACTCCTGGATTCGTTGTAGACTGACTATGAACTAGAAAAGATTATAATAATAATAGTAAAAATACTAATCGTAATAATGTTAATAAAAATAATAATAATAATGATAATGAATAATGATAACGATAATGAATATTTTTTGTTGATGCTGTTGCTATTATTCGGATCGGCAACGGATCCCAAGTGAAAAACACTTTTAAATAGATAAATGAATAAACATATATGTTACTCGCCTATATTATCAGTAGTAGTAATCACTGGCGATGGTGATGATGCTGGGCCGGGTCTTCCCGTCTCCCCGGAGACTGTTGACTCCACTCCCGGATTCGTTGGACTATGAACTAGACAAGATAATAATGATAATAATAGTATTAATACTAATCGTAATAATGATATTAATAATAATAATAATGTAATGAATAATGGTTATGATAATGATAATCATTGTTAATGCTGCGGATTGTATTATTACTCTTATTATCATCAATACGAGTATTATTATTTTTATCAATATAATTATAAAATATAATAACAAGAAGAAAAGAAAAGACGGAAGAATAACAACGTAATAACATATTGTTATAAACATCGTTAAGAGAAGTAAGGAAAAACAGATTATCATTATACGGTAGGCTTGCGGGTGCACCATGTGTAAGAGAAAGGAAGGATTTAGGGGTCCTGAAAAGGACTTTCGGTAATCTTTCTTGAGGGTGTTTAGTCCTCATCCTCTCCAAGCGCTATAGTTCTTCTTAGAACTATAAGCTAAGAAAGATAACCAACAGTCTTTTTCAAAACTATACCAATAGTCCTTTTCATGACTACACACCCTCAAGGAAGATTACCGAGAATCCTTTTCAGGACCCCTCAATCCTCCCTCTCTCTCTCTCTCTCTCACACACATGGTACACCCGCAAGCCTACTGTAAATCTGCATCAACACGCTGCAAGCTGATACTTACGAGCAGATTATCATTACTTTATTATATTTTTAAACATTTACTGCATATTATAAGGCACGATTGAGGAGAGTTGTTGCAAGATATTTCACTGCAATATAAGTGAGAGAAATGTTATAATTAATATAATAGAAAGGTGAAGAAGAAAATGTGGAAAAGTAGCAACAAATATCATTAAACATCACTTTCATTACGAAAAGGGAACATATTTTTAACATCGTTAATGGAAATAAAGAAAAACAGATTAACATTACTTTTACTATTTTAATCATATACTGCACGGTTGAGGAGAGTTGTTGTAAGATGTTTCATAGCTATATAAGTGATGAGAATACAAGCAGTGTCCATAAGTGAAGCGGATATCTTTAAATTAAGCTGATATTCTTTGTATTGTTATTTAACAGGATGGTTCCAAAGATGACATGCTGACACCTTGACAAATCAAGGAAGATAGACTAAAATATATCCAATACATTTACAAATTTTAATCATAATGTATACCTGTATCCCAATATTAATATAATTATTTTCCCTTCTGCCCTTTTCATTTAAAATAAAATGCTATGATTCCAATCAATGATTATTAATTAATGGCATCGTTTAAGATTGTCGATTTTTTTTTGATTTTTTTTTTGTGTGTGTGTGCTTTGCCTTACTTTTCTTTGCTTTGCTTATTGATAAACCTGCAAGTAGTTCTCAGCACCATGATTGGAAAAGAAGAAGGCCAAGAGTTAATGGCAAATTATAAACATAACAAAATGAAAAGTAAACAGGCGAATATTATGTTATTGAAATGACAGTGACGTAGCGTAGGTCCATGCATTGAGAGGCATTAGCACGATGGGGGGGGGGGGGGGGCACTGGTGTTACTAAGAAAATAACATTTCGCAAGGACTTTGTTAGGGGAATGGTGCGGGAGGTGGTCTTGGCGTTTTCTTTTCTCACCCTTTTTCTCTTCTTCCTTTCCCTTTCTCTCTTTTCTCGATTTTCGTTTATTTGTTTCTTGTTCACCATTCAATTGGGGTGCATGTGCTCTTCCCACGTTCCCCTGCAGCTTTGTTACTGGATATGAATGAATCTCAAGGAGAATAGAGAATGCATCTCCCATTACCGATGTAAATGTAACTGAAATGAAAATCGTGTTTATACATGGCTGCAAAAATGCGAGGAGTTAATTAATAACAACTGATATGAATGCCAGCATTAAAATGATATTTTGATATTGCTCAAACCTGTCCGACGTACAGTACTTTGATAGGTGGAAGTCGACGTAGACATAGTAGTTGATGTAGCCGGTAGATTGGATACTGTATGTGTATGGAGTATTTAAACGTAGTCATAAACTTCTATTTAAAAGGGAAATAAGCTTTTTATCATGTCAGAGATGAAAATTTGCTCTTTGCTTTTCTTCACCAACGATAATATTGAGAATTTTTTTATAATTTATTTTACTTCAAATTAGCACACAATTCACCTTTAAAATTTGTTATTAGATTGCATCCGTCTTCCTACTTGTGAAGTAATTCGTCCTTGTTTTCACGAAGTGACGGTAGTGAGGAAAATCGTTACGCAAAGTGAATGCAATTTTTTTTCACTACCGTCACTTCGTGAAAACAGCGACGAATTGTGTATCACGTAAGGTTTTCAACATGTGATATAAGCATAATTGTATGAGATATGATAACGCATAATGCAAATGCGAAACAATGACTAAAAGTTCATCCTTATTTTATCACGTTCTATCATGATATGTTGACTGATATAATCAAGACCCTTCCGAGAGGGGGGAATCTGTTAGATTCACGGTACTGCACCCGAAGTCACGTGGGACTGCATTATCCATTCTGGTACGTTTCACCCCCTTTTTACCTAAGTATAGATTTGCCAATCATGCTATTGTTGAAATATACTCACTTCTAAAGACAGCTATGTATCCTTGCCCACCACAGCTCTCGGTATCATCTGCTGAACATGGACTTTGACAGTGTATATCTGTTCCCGCTCCATGTCGAGAATAGACATCACTCGACACACCACAGAAGCATTCATGTCCATTTTCAACTCCAGCGTATACATAGTTGGTTGTAACAGTGTTATCACAAAACTGGATGCAACTTGAAATGGTCATTTTTGGATCATAGAGTAAATTATCGCCAGCAAACACCCTATCATTAGGATTGTCCATGAAGCACCCAAGATAACCTTCACCTGTATAAAAAGAATACAAAAACAAAAGGATGATGCTATGGTACCAAACGTGTCCCGCATTTCATTTCCTTGCTCTCACACAACGTTTATTCTTAAGTCATCGTAGAAAAAGAAGATTTATCTATCTTGTGACGTATATTGAGTGTTACTTTTCTTTTGAGAATGAAATTCTATATTTTCACGTAAAATGTTATAAATACACGAATGTCCTGCTTCTCATAGTCAGGGTTACACTGCACTCATTTGAAATTTAAAAAATATAATACACATATACAAAAAAGGTAATTTTTTTCCAACATGAAATAATTTTTTGAAGAATGATTTTGGAAACGGAACTTGAATCAGTTCCATTTTTTGTATAATTCATTCATTCACGGTGACCTGTGTTTATTTGCATAAGCCTTAGAAATTCATTATTTGCATTCCCCTTTTAAACATATTAAAGTAGTCTTAAAAAAGGGGGGAAATGTGCTTCCCCGTACCACCTCTGATATCTAAAATAGAAGATATTGAACATTTCAAAACAGAATATGGCGGACCTTGACATAAAATTACCCTGACTTCTCAGTTATCATTCCTTAACCAGTATTCCGGCCAATCACCATTTTTCAAGCACACGCGTGTCAATCCAGGCACATTAATGTTCGCATCCAACCGCTAAACCTATTTAACACGTGGGTGGAGAGAGACAATTGAGAGAAAAGGCCTTTCTTTAGGTCATAAGTCACTTGTCACGGATCGAACCAACGATTTTCGCATACGCAGGTAAGTGTTCCACAGTCACAGATTATAAAAGAGCTTAGGGTACACAGTTCTATGTAGAGTAAAAGGAAATGTAATTACCATGACACGAAGCTGCTCCTGCTGTTGAACAGACTGGTGTTGGAAACAACGTACACTCAGTCAAATTAGCTTCGTCTGAAGAAGAAGAAAAAAGTTGGAGATAAATTATTGTATATTCCCTTGGAATCTTAACTATTAAAAATTTCTGTAAAACTGTGTTTAATGTTCTTAACGCTTTTGAAATAAATCAGGAGACATGGACAAATCTACAATATAGAAATCGTACCTTTAAACATAAATCATGTACCGAAAATCGAATAGTATTGTGTGTGATTGATTGTTTAAAACGGCACAGAATACAATCACACTCATATGCTTTTGTTTTGGAATATATTCCATACTGTATTTTTATTGTTGTTTGTAAGTTTTTTTATGGTTATATAAATTCATCTTAAACAACTATTTATACTCTACAGACGCGATGGCTCAGAGGTAGATGGTAGAGCAGTGGTCTCGCAACTAGAAGATCTCGGGTTCGAAACAAAGTCGGTTCGCGAGTGCCCTTTGGTAAGACATCAATCCTCATTACTAAGTTCTTGGAGATGACTTGAAGCCGTTGGTCCCTCGTTGCTTACTTTCAACATCCACATGCATCCACGGTCAGGAAAAATCAAATCGTTCAAACAAAGCAACCAAATACAACGGCTGACGCAATATATCGAGGGAACCTTTGTGATTTTAGTCTAGATCTATTGAAATTTTCGTCATAACATGCATTTTGTTTTTGTTTTATCTTTAAAACGAGAATATTTCAACACATTTTTACGTTCTTCGTGTTAGACTTTTGTCCGATAGATCATTTGTTAAGCCCTGTATCTACCAATAACTCGGTTTTTCACTGGGGTAAATAGCGTCTCATTCGTTATGCAAGTTTGATCAATAATTAAGTTTACTCACTTTTCTTCACAAAATATACTATATATAATGAATGATATAAAGAAATAGAGTTTGTTGTGCTAATAAAGGAAATGCTTACCACCATGACATTGCAGCCCTCCGGTGGGAGTTGAATTCTGTACATAAGGTGTGTCTCTTATTGCTATGTTCGCTCTTGCGAATCCCAACTGTCTGCAGATGACGATGACGTCACTGATACCTAGATTTACTCCACATGTTGTCTCCCATGTCCCGTTGTCTTGCCTGATCTCAACCGTACCTCTATCATGCATTGGACCACCAAAAAGGCGTACATCTATCACAAAAATTACACAAAATGATAATCCTTATACTAATTGGTAACCGCTTGCAGTATTCTTGTATATAATATCATATTCACTATACATATACGAAAGCAGAAGGGGCCTTTGTCTTGCTAGAGAAAATACGTATTTAGAATCACTAGCTCATTTGAAAGAGCGAGGGGCAGTTTGCCCCCCCCCCCCCCCACCACCACAGATTTCCAATCATGGGGAAAATATGAAGACTGACCTTGTGGTGACATGACTAAATACTTAAAATGTATTAAGTAATCATCATATTGCTTTAAGACCTCACAATTAGTGAAATATTTTCTCAAAATTTATGAAATAAAATTGAATTGAAATCATCAACCATATAAAATGATATATTATGCATGCATTATTCTTTTTAAGTGGTAAGCTTATAACTGTCATCCAATACAAACTGGATAAAACTTTTGCTCGGTCGTTTCAGTTCCTCGCAAATAACTTAATTCAGTGGATTTAATTCCACAATAAAAGTCATTGTTACACTATTATACCAATTGTATATATTTAAGAGCCAAAATTGAACTTCCATCGTCCTTATTCTCCGCACTACTTCTCACGTTTGACTGACTATATCTCTCTTGTGCTAACACAATCCTCCTTATGTTTAGTATCATTAGAAGGTCTGATATTATTGTTTAAAATGCTACCCCCTTTGTTATGATTTTTTACTCATGGAATGTGCATTTCATCGAAATAAGGGGCAAGGTCAAAACTGAAAAGAAAAGTTGCAAGATGAACTCATTTTGTTCGACTGTGCATTCTTCTTTCTTTAAAAAGTGTACGTGCGGCTGCTATGTGGTGTGATGCATGATAAAAACCAGTGGTTTACTAGGGCATTTTGCAACTTTGCATTTTTCACCCTTCTCCTCATTCTGATGAACTGCTCCTCCTATGGCGGCAAAATAATAACACATATGGTATTGAAGAATAAACACACTTTCTAATAGTCCTAAACAAAGCGACAACTATCCCCTGGCAAAAGAGATATAATCGATCAAACTTGAGTTTCCATACTTTTTTGAGGGGTTATTCACCTGTTATCACGCCGTTGGCGAAGTTTTCCCCACAGTGTACTACAAGAAATAAAGTTATGAGTACAGTACACATCTCGACGGAAGCCATGTTCACAACAGCTCAATCGCTGTCAAGAGAGGTCAAGTGATTTCTTTGAGAAGGGAAATTTCTGGAAGCAATCGGGAAAATATTTATTATGTAGTAGAACTGATATATTGTGATGTTTTAGAATGTTAACAATAGAATGAGACTGACTTATTCTAGCTAAAAGTCATGCGCACTGCACACAGAAATGTGCATATGGGACTACACAAATACGTGGCAAAGATCGAAGTGGAAGTTCGGTCCAAATTTTCAGCTATTTCTCATAATAAATCGAATGTGAGGGCATCAAGAGCAATTATTTTCAAGGGATATTTCTTCTATGGTAATATTTCAAATTAACATTATACAGAATGAAAGAGCTCACAATTTTTTTTCTCACTTTTACCAGAACTCAACCTCCTCTTTAATACAACATGGGTCTTCTGTGTACTGAATTTAGTTATATAAGTTACACATAAAAGTGTAAAGGTAGAACAAATAGTAATAATCATAGAAATACAGATACTTATAATAATGATAATAACAGTAACATTAATGATGTCAATAAAAACAATGATAATAACAAGGAGTAAAAGTAGAAGAAGAAAAACATAAATAGTGATAATAATTACAATAATAATGACAATAATGAAACAACTAAATCTGATTTATCCATGGTAGCCATATCTCTTTTAATACTGCTCCTACTGGGAACCATACAGTTATTATTACCCCCAGCACGTGACAGGTACCCATCAACACCTAGGTGGAGAATTACAAAGTGGATTAATGTCCTGTCAGAAGACCTTAGGTACGGGGCTCGGAATCGAACCCTGAACCCTTGTATTTAGAGCCAAGTGAATGAACCACTGTACCACTGTACCACGTACGACTAAAATTACTAATAGTTAAACATTCTGTGAACATATGCATAACGAATCAAGGAAGGTATACCCGAACATCTCCCCCCGGACAAATATACCCCTCCCCGGACCATCAGCGTGTTCGTACACAAAATAATTTATCCCGAAACTCTATAACGAAACGTCGTATAAAGAATCATCGTATAAATTCCAGGGTGTCCACACACAAGAAACGTCGTATAATGAATCATCGTACGTGTCCACACCCACAAGAAAGTAATCACGAAACTCTACAGCGAAAGTCGTATAGGTGCGCAGTTTGCTACTGCGGTCATGGAATGGAAGCGAAAATGAGAGGTCAGGTCTCCTTTCGCACGAGGTCACGTTAAGCCCCGCCCAGTTATACCGCTCTAGCTGGACTAGTTATACTAGTTACGTCCACACACAACACATTCCGTGATTAGGCGTGATTAGTTATACGTCGTATGACGAAACACAGGTTTTTGCATCGTTTCGTTATACGACGAATAACTAATCACGCCTAATCACGCCTAATTAGTAAGCGTCCACACACACAATTTCATCGCGAAACAGTATAACTATCCCGTAAGGGTATAACTAATCACGGCTAATCACGGAAAGTGTTGTGTGTGGACACGGGGCATTACTCCAAATTAATCCCATTGGGACGATAACAATCCGCAATTTTACTGTCAAGATAATCTGGCACGGATTAGGGCGGGGGAACAGCCCTATATCTTCCTCATGCTCACCTCTTTTCCTTTCCTTTTTCTCATTTCCAACTCTTCCCAACCTTCTCTTTCTCTGTTTCACCTCGTCCCTTTCTTTTCTTCCTCATTCTATACTTTCTTGTGTCTGTATTGCTCTTGTGTGTTTGTGGGTAATTGTGGGTGTATGCATAAACAAAGGTGATAGCTGCTGATAGCTTTTAGTCGGTCTTTTTAGTATATTTCTTTTTCTTAATGTACGTATATTTACCTAGTAAGTTTTGTTTATTTCGCTATTTAATTTAATTTTGTGCCTACTTCGATGGGGCCTCATGTACTAGCACAAAGCACAAGTTGCTTCTTAGAGGTCCTGATTCACTAACTAGGAACGATATTGTTCCTCAAATTAATTTTGGGGATTGATTTCAATCCCAGCTTAAAATTGATTCTACCTGACTGGTTCACTAAATCGCTTTTAGGCTGGGATCAATCTCAACATGAAAAATCATGCGCGATATGAATATTCATGCACGCGATCAATCCAACCAATCAACAGACTCAAGTGTTGGTCACTGGGCATTATTACGTCATCAATCGGCCGACATAATTTGTCCTTGACATTCATTTCTATGTTGATTTAATTCTAACATGAGAGAAAACTGAGTGAAATTTCGCATAAGATAGAAAGAATTCATTCATGACTGTTTCATAATAATAATAATAATTAACAACATTTGTATAGCGCTTATCACAAAATATGTCTCTAAGCGCTTAAATGTACATTGTAGCAGTGTGAGGATTAAATCAATTTTCTGTGGGTATATAGTTTGTCTTTCTTTACACTTGTTTCGAGTGAAATGCCGGATTGAACGTAGGTAATATACGTAAGTTAGACCTATTGTCCCCAGCTAGCATGCAGCATCATCGTACAGTCTTGATGTAGATATAGTCCAAAGTCTTTAATGTTTTACATGTTGTTGGCACTAAGTTAAGCCTACCCTAGCATAGTATAAATCAAAACGATTTGGTATATCACTTTAGCAGCGACTAACAATATCTATCTTTCTCGTGTTTGCTCTAATTTAGCTTCGGTTTGTCTCTTCCCGAAAGTTTTGCTCAAAGTGATCGTGATCAACCTTACCCTTAAAAGCGATTGTAATGCTAACATTAATCCCAAACGCCTTAGTGAATTAGTTACTAAAAGCGATATTGCTCTAAAGAGTGATATTGAGCCTAAGGGCGATTTTATCCTATTTGAGATTAATTCTAGATTTTAGTGAATCAACTCCCTGGCCTATTATTTATTATGTATTAATGATATCTAAAGTTTTGTATAATGCCAAATAAACTGAATCATCATAACATTTAGTTTAGAGGAATACGACCAATGTTAACTTGTTCTGACTTGGTAGACTTTGTCAGAGGCAATATTACCTTACACTTTCTCTCTCTTTCTCTCTCTTTCTCTCTATCTCTCTTTCTCTCTCTCTCTTTCTCTCTAACTCTCTTTCTCTCTCTCTCTCTCTCTCTCTGAAACTCTCTCTATATCCCCCTATCTCACTCTCACACTCTCTTTCTCCCTCCCCCTCCTCACTCTTCTCTCTTATACCCCCCCCCCCCCCCTTCCTCCCTCTATCAATGTCTCTCTTTTTTTCTGGGACTTTTGTAGACTCTGTTGATCTCTGCTCCCGGATGCGGAAAAACAGATAACGAGAGTTCAAAATAACAGGAAATAACACCCACCTCGCATTCGGCCTAGGCCTACTTTGTGAAAATATAGGGAAAGTCCCCAAACTTAATCTTGCAAACAAAGTATACTATCTTTGCCTACTTTTACTAGGCAAAAGACCTGATAGTTTGCAGACATAAAGCCTTGCCAGTCGCTGTGCGTAATAGTTTCTGCACACTGGGACAAGGCTAGGACATACTGCAAAGGCTTTACTAAGTCGATTTAATGCAGCCAGAGACTGGTAGAGCTAGATTCTGCTAAATACTTTAGGATTTGTGGTAAAGTGTCAAATCGGATTCTGTGCGTGCAGTCTGGTTTCCTTGAGTGGATTCCTTGACCATGACGACAGTAAGAAGTGCATTAATACTCCGTTTAAGTGGGCCTATAAGAATCGAAATCCATCTGGTTTTAGTTGAATAGGCTATTTCCAGCAATGGGGTGCCCGGGAGTCACTTGGGTAACCTTCCAAAAGTATAATATAAAGAGATAATATGCACTTCTCTGTACTTTTGTCGGAAAAAACATAGTAATCCAGCACAATCATCTCTTTTTGCGTTGGAGAAGAGCAAAATGGTGAGTTTCAATTGCACTTCCTCATGAATTGAGGTGGCTTTAGGTTGAGCGGCTAATGAATATACTTATCGTTAGCTTTCTTCTGGTATTAAACTTGTTTTGATTGGTGTATTTTGTTGTCAGAATTTACCCATTCACATAATGGAACTACCTGTCCGATGAAGCCATGCAGTGGCCCATGGCCCCTGCAGTCAACACTGTGTGAGAGTTGTGGTCAACTTGTTTTATGAGACAAACCCAAGCAAACGTTTCCATATGCCAAAAACAGTGTACCGCGAATGTATCGTCGCGTTTCGAGGATAAATTCAGCTTAAATCTAATGGACCGCTGGTCAGGGATTGACAGTAAGTACGATTTTCACAAGTTTTCTTTTCAACTGTAGAAAAACAATGAAGCCAATATAATGAAAAAGTGGACAAAATTATATACCAAATCGGGTGAATTGAGTTTTAAAATAAATATTGCTTCAGCTAAGGGGGGGACATGCCCCTTTGTACACCCCTCTGTCCACGCAAGCTCTGTCTGTCTTTTATTTGCCCTCTCCCCTCCCCTTTCCAAAATTATTGGATAATAATACCATATTAAAGTATTAACATACGATGAGTACACGTGTAGACCAAATGGACCTTTGGGTTACCAGGATGTCCCGTTGATAATGATGATATCGTAATCTGAGACATCACAATCCCGAGTTTATTGTCTGAGATACACTGACCGATTACTAAAACAATTATGACAGCGTGTCATGTAAGTTTCTTAGTACGTCGATATGAATGTACAAATATGACAATACTACAAAGAATGTATATATTAGGTAAGCCTACTTCCTCAACTTTCAATTCAATACTGTACATGCAAGTTAAACTATCTGGTCAATGATTCCCTGTCAAAAATGTTTTAAAAAGCTGCCATAATTTCATTTTTAAATTTACAAACTTAATTTATAGGCCTATATACTTACATTGTTGCAGTGACTTGGAACACATTTGTTCATCGGGTATACCAAATTCCTAAATATATGTCCGAGATTTTGGAAAGCCTAGTCGCACCGAACTTCTGTTTCACTTTCAATAGCATTTGGCAACAATGAGATATAATCTCATATGGCTATAGTTCGGGTATATTAGTATAGGCCTATCCTGTACGCAGTCAACACGGAAATACATCATACCTGGTGATTTTGTATTTGGTAGACGACTTAATTACCAAAACGGTGTGAATTACGAAACTATCCTCTCGAGGCCTTCCGGTAGGAATTGATTACAACAATGATTTTATTTGCCAAGGGAAGCCTCACCAGCTCCGATGCTGTTCTTCCTGATTGCCCTGCAATTTTCATATTACCCAGCAATTTCCAAATACGCATTTACACCCGGGTGGAGGGTGCCAAATGATGTTAGTGCCAGAATGAGATTCGAACCCCAAACCCTTGGATTGAGAGTCAAGTGAATGAACCACTTTACCAAATCACCTTTTAAGATTTTGGAGCAACTGTAGAATGTGCAAATGAAGGCTAATTCCTTTAATATGACTGTCACTGTGATGCAAAGAGTTCTGGACACTGGTCAGTCCCTCATTACGCCTCCGCGCGCGCCGAAAACACGTATAACGGCTGTTCGCTGAGGTGAACTTCTTTTTCAAAAAGTTAGGCGTCGGGTTACACCTTAACGGAATTTTTGCTTTAGCAGCTTAACACATAACGCACTCTTCGCAACTTTCTCAAGCTCAATACCCCCCCCCCCCCCCTAAATGAGAACAGAATGTTACAGGCAATCTCCCATTTTTCGCTTCACACGTATCTTGAATTCAAATATATAGTTATGTTCACCATATTAAGACCATTTTATGCTCAGGTGTTTGGATCAAGATGCGACTAGTTTATTTTCATGCCAATTAACCAGATTTAATAAGATTTAATAGTAATCTGATAGGAGTACTCTGTAAGTAATCAAACATTTTATGTTATGTTTTACTATATTTCTTGTGATAATCATCCATGTCGAAATATGATTCTAAAATAAATGTTGATTCTGTCAAAAAATGAATAGCTATTAATTTGAAATTGTGGTAATATGTTAATTATAATAATGGTTAGAACATGTTTAACTAGTTAAATGATATAGCTGAATAATTACAACATGTGTTATATTACGATTGTTTGATATTAGTTATTTAATTAATTAGAATCATTAATAAATATCAAAATTGCTAAAAGTATTGATTCCTTATATTCCTGAATGTAAATATATTTCTAAACTGAATTGTATGAGTCTCTGGGCTTTTTATTGAGCATGTTTATTTAACAATAAACCAGAATTGAATTGTATTGAATTGAAGTGACTTGAATTGAATTGAAACAACACGGGTAATTATTTTACATGCATATTTTAATGGATTATAACAATGTTGACTGGAAAGTAATATGCAAAATTAAATGAGATGCCCATGTTAAAAAGAAAGAGTGGGCGAGGTTGCGGTTACATCACGAATTCTTCCGAGAATGTAAAAGCCCTCATCACGGCAGGCTAACCACTATCGAAAGTGTACATGGTGTAACGGTGAGCCCCGCTAACATCTTTCTTCATAATGGAATCCTAGATTACAAAACAAATCAAAACTTTATTGAGCAAAGTTTTAATATAATAGAGTACCAATTGAACAGGAATTGTTCTGGCTAAGCACACATACATCTATATTAACCGAAAATGATTCTTAAAGAAATGTCTTCATATGCAATGAGGAATCATATACTAGAGGACCATGAAATTAGCCGTATTTATGTCCCGTCCTCAATAAATAACCAAGATATGAACTCAACGATACCATGTAAGAGTTTAAAAGACTTTTTTTTAAATAAAAATATTTTAAAAAAACGATGAGAAAACTTCGAAAGTATTACACAGGGGGTATCCTTTAATTACACCGTTGCTCATAAAGAAAGAATATGTTTTCTAACCTCTTCCCATGTAATGAATGTGACAATATGGTTTTATTTCTGATAAAGTTTTACACCTGTCAGAGCTTTGTGGATCAATCTTCATTACTCAATAATCAATAAAGTTATCATAAGATATTTATAAACTTTATCTATCAGAATTAAACCATAATGTCACAATCACTTCATAAAAAGGGCAAGAAATATATTACTACAAATTTATGGGCGACAGTATATTACAAAGAGTCTAGTTTACCGTGACTTGAATTTGGTCAACAAAAGATAAATTTAAGAATTAAAAAAAAGTCTTCGAAAGCTTAGGATTTAAATTTTAATATAGAATATATTTGGAATTTACGAGCAAAGTGATCATCTTAAAGAGATCGTTTGGTTATTAAAGTTAAGAATATATTTGAGATTTACAAGCAAAGTGATGATCTTAAAAAGATCATCTTAACAAATATTCTATGACCATATTATAACGCATGTAAAATTTTAAATCTAAAGTATCCTTAACAACCCTTAAACGTAACTTCTAAGATTCATAACGATATTTATATATATATATATTGACTCGTGGGGGCGCTATTTTATGTTCCCGTTTTTTACATTGAATTATCGTTAATTTGCCTAAAGTGTAACAATTGAGATTTATAAGAAAATATATAAAATTAGAAGGGGTAACATTTGACACGATCGTTTAAAATCGCCTATAACAAAAACCCAACATCTGTCATGTGTATATACATGTTATCCATAATGAGTTGTTTATTTTACTGCATAAAAACAAGTGTCATGAATTGTGATCATGAAATGTAAACTAAAATCAGGTGGATTTCTGCATTTATCCGATTCAGTATAATAGCACCATAATATAAGATTCCATCATCAAGATAATACAAAACGTTACAATAATTTGTTAATAAAATATATAATGTGCTGGCCTAAATATATTTGCTTCCAACTTATTAAAAATAAATGACAAAAAAAAAAGATCATAAAAAAAGGTCATCAAAACATTGTAAGCGTATAATTCCCGCATATATATTTATGTACCTTGTGAATAGTACAGACCTTACACATATACGTGAGTCATTGCTAAAGACAAATATAATCCAAAGACGAAATGGAATCATATTCAGTTCCTCCTCTTCTTCCTCCGCCCCCTCCCCCTCTCTTTCTCTTTCTCGTCTCTCTTTCTCGTTCTGTCCGTTATACGCTTATACACGTACACACGCATACACAAACAATAAACACACTCATTCCCAAAAACTCTTTTTACCTATAGAAAAATGGGCGAAGTAAGTAGTTCATCAACAATGATTCTTTTTAACATAAAACAGGCCATAGGTTATCATAACAGCACGTGGTTACATTGCATATAGTTCATTATCAACCATGACAGTTCCATATTCATTGTCGTCATTGCTGACGGTATGCCCTGGTGCAGTGGACATGGCATAAAGTCCCGTATCATCATCCGCTAATGAGTATAACCCTTCCCCACTGTTACCCTCACTCTCCGGTCCAACTTGGTTCACGTCTTCGCGACCTTCCGGAACTCCTCGGCTTTTGTCGGGCATCGCGTATAGGGCGCCGAAGTCTTCCGAACCCTGTCCATCGCCACCTTTCCCAGTTTTGTCAGGTTTTGCGTAAAGCGAACCAAAATCCTCTTCTCCCTGGCTTTTCCTTGGCTTGTCCGGCATAGCGTACATCGCCTCAACATCGCCATTGGGTGGGGGTCGGGATACTCGTTTTTCTGGGAACCCGTCATTCTGATCTGAAGGCATCGTGTTATTCAGTTTCGAATCTGTATTCTTCGATTTCTGGTCTTTCACTGACGAATAGGATGTAGCATCACCTTCAGGAAGTGCATGGTCCCTAACCGATGAGTAGTAGGTAACATCGCCGTCCGTAGGGGGATCAGGCAACTGCAAACCGTGTGGTGTTTCGTCGGAGTTGTCTTGGAACATGTCATGGTAAAGATTATCCTGCGTGCCATTTGGGCTGGCAGGCTGCATCACTGTCATATCGTGTGACTGCAATCCGTCTTTCTGTTGCCTTCGCGATCTGGAGTTAAAAAGTCATTTAAATCAATATGTAAGTAACTCGTAAATATCCTTATGTGCCAATGTAGTAGTACTAGTAGTAGTATATGAAGTAGTAAAAGTAGTAGAAAATAGAATTTGATAGGTAGATAGGTAGGTAATAAGTTAATTAGTTAGTCTTAATAGTAACAGTGGTAGTAGTATAGTAAATATATAAATAGGTAGGTAGGTATTTAGTTAGTTAGTCTTAGTGATAACAGTAGAAATAGTAGTAGTAGTACTAGTAGTAGTAGTAGTAATAGTAGGAGTAGTAGTAGTAGTAGTAGAAGTAGTAGAAGTACCCGTAACAGTACTAGTACTACTACTACTAGCATTACCACTGGCATGACTAATTAAAGTAGAAATACATTGAATTTACAGTTTGTAACAAATATACAGCCACGGGAAAAATGTTATTTTTGACCAAGCTTCTTCTGTAGGCGTACATTATGTGTGCGAAATAACAAAACTAAACTTTTGTTTGTAATTCCGCGAATTATCATCATCACCATCATCTTCAACATCATTTATCAAAGTCAGCATGAATAACAATTAACTTCATTTGTACCTTGCTATCATGGTAGTACTTTATTCCACATTCTATTTCTTTTGGAATCTTGTACTGAAGGATTTATACGTACCTTTTTCTCATCAAAAGCACCACAACGATGACGATGACGACGATGATGACGATGGCAACCACACCCCCGGCAACGCCTGCATATAATCCTGTAAGAAAGGTTTAATTCGAGTATAAGAAAACATAGGAAAAGGGCCAAATTTCCCAAAGGAAAACTTGGAGTTCCATGCTGTTTTACTTAATCAAATATTACCATCTTCAAATAATATTTTTGTGAAGACAATTAGTTACAAGTTCAGACCGAAGACACTCTTAACAGTGACTTGAGAACAGTCATGTCATTTTCTCTAAGCGAACATACTCTATTCGTGGGATAATAGGGGGTTTTCGTTTGTCACGTTGACATAGTCGACGTCTAATATGTGACGTCATTTCCGCGATCTGCGCATGCGTCGGGTCGTCTGGCGTCGTCAGGCCACATTTGCGAACCCGTTCATCGATGATTTGAGGTTCGTCAGAAAACTAGTGAACCGTCGTCAGAATGACGTCATCTTGCTACATCGCAGCGTAAATCAGAAAGTAAAAACAGAAAGAGAAATTGATAGAATGATTAAAAAACAAAGAATAACATAAGGAAAGACAGAAAAAAAGTGTGATAGAATGATAAAAACAAAGAATAACATAAGAGAAGATGATAGAAGGAAAAAACAAAGGCTAACATAAGGGAAGACAGAAAGAGAAGGTGAAAGAAGGAAAAAACAAAGAATAACATAAGGAAAGACAGAAAGAGAAGGTGAAAGAAGGAAAAAAACAAAGAATAACATAAGGAAAGACAGAAAGAGAAGGTGAAAGAAGGGAAAAAACAAAGAATAACATAAGGAAAGACTGAAGAGAAAGTGAAAGAAGGAAAAAACAAAGAATAACATAAGGAAAGACAGAAAGAGAAGGTGAAAGAAGGAAAAAACAAAGAATAACATAAGGAAAGACAGAAAGAGAAGGTGAAAGAAGGAAAAATCAAAGAATAACATAAGGAAAGACAGAAAGAGAAGGTGAAAGAAGGAAAAAACAAAGAATAACATAAGGAAAGACAGAAAGAGAAGGTGAAAGAAGGAAAAAACAAAGAATAACGTAAGGAAATACAAAAAGAGAAAGTGATAGAATGATAAAAACAAAGAATAACTTAAGAGAAGATGATAGAAGGAAGAAACAAAGAATAATATGAGGAAAGATAGAAGGAAAAATGATAGAATGATAACAACAACAATAACATTAGGAAAGACAGAAAGAGAAAATGATAAAGAATAGACAATGGAAAGATAGAAGAGAAGATGGAAGAAGGAAAAACAAAGAATATCATAAGAAAAATAGAGAGAGTATAATAGAATAATAAACGAAGAACAAAATAAGAAGTGAAAGAAGGAGAAAATGAATAAGCGCGTGCGGGGCCATTACGTCATCGTGTAGAGAACGTGTGTCAACTTAAAACGAAAAGGGTTATAAGGTAGTGAACAGGACGGGTGTCTGACGTCAATTTGCATCGTTAGAGGACGTGAACGCCGTCCTCGTCCACACAAACGAAAAGCCCCTAATATAAATCATAGAGTTCCAACTGTGATCACATCCACAAACATGCACATCCCGTGCACGCACGCATTCACGCACAAATACACACTCACGCAGACACAGGCCCATACGGCCCCACAAAGCTATATGAAAGGCAACAAAGAGATGTAATAAGTCAACAAAATCTTCACCTTAAGAGTGAGGAGTGCCTTGTTCGCCTTATGTAATGATGGTATGCAACTTCGGTTTCAAAGGGGGATGGGCCAGTTATACCCCCCCCCCCCCGGTTCAACTTGGCAAGGTCTTTCGGATCGGCGACGGATCCCAAGGGGGAACGATTTTAAATAGATAAATGAATAAATAAGCATATACATGTTTACTCGCCTGTATTATTTTGGTTATCTCCATTCCTAGGGGGAACTTGTGATGTACCCATAGTAGTCATTACTGGCGGGGATGCTGATGCTGATGCTGATGCTGGGCTGAGCGTCATTATCTGCATGGAGTCTGTTGACCCCACTCCTGGAGTCGTTGGAGACTGAATATTAACTAAAAACAAAATAATAAAAAAAAGTATTGATAACCCCAATTGTAATTAGTGATAATAATAACAGTATTACAAATGATTATGGTAATGATTATTATTGTTTGTTGATGTTGCGATTATTATTACTCTCATTATCATCAATACAATTATCATTATTATTATCATCATTATTATCAGTATAATTATCAGTATTATACAAGATAATAACAAGAAGAAGAAGAACAGGAGGAAGAATAACAACAAAATATTGATAAACATCAAATCCATTATAAAAATGGAACACATTGTTAACATCGTTAAGAGGAAGGAAGAAAAACAGATTAACATGTTTTATTGTTATCAGATACTGCACATGTGACATGAGTGAGGAGAGTTGTTGCAAGATGTTTAATTGCAGTGATGAGGATGCAAGCAGTGTTCTTAAGCGAAGCGGATATCTTTAAAATAAGCTGATATTCTTTTTAATCTTATTTATCAGGATGTTTTCAAATATGGCATGCTGACACCTTGAAGAATCGAGGAAGATAGGTCAAAATGTATCCAATATTTTACCGAATTTCAATTATAATGGATACATTTAAAAAAATATTTTACCTTATGCGCTTTTCATTTGGAATAAAATGCTATGATTCCAATGAAGCGTTGCGTCATGTATACAATCTTAATCAATGGCATCGCTTCAGATTGTCAAAACAAATTTATAAAGTCTATTGATCAACTTTACAGTCCTAAATAAACATTTATAAGCTCTTTCGATTCTTTTTATTTTATTTTCTTTGCTTTGCTTTTTTATGACATGTGCATTGTAAAGATTGTACATTTTTAGTGAAAAGAATTGCATAATATCTTAAATTTGTAGTTCAAGGGCCATGAATATTCAACCCTATTTTTACCAGCCCAAAACAATTATGAAAGATGTCACACGGATAGGACGAACTAAATAAACAAAAACAAGATGCTGGATATTATTGCGTTGATACGAAAGATCATGGCGTCGTGTTTGCTTCTTTGCATATTTTTAGAGGTGTTATTTACGAATTAGAACATAAAGGAACGAAAGCACCTAATCTCCAACCTCTATTATGATGATGTGAAGAAATGCGCTGATAATAACCTTTAACGAAGGCATGATATGAACATGATTTATCAGACTATGTTTAGAGGGTTTTCGCAGTGTAGGAAATTCAAAAATCACCTCTTCAGAAAGGTGACAACCAACGTGATCAATGTGACTGAAATTAGGAGCCCTTTTTTCCATGTTAAATTAAGAAAGTACTCTTTTTGTTGATAAAGTTGCAAGTAAGTGTCAGCACCATAATTGTAAAAAAATGAAAGCCAAGAATTAGCGGGAAAATATAAACAGACTTAAGTGAAAAGTAAACAAGCGACTATTTTGTTATTGAAATGAACAGTGGTGTAGTGTGAATCCATACATTGAAGGGCATTTGCATGATAGAATGGGGGGCACTGACTTAATAGGGAAATTAAATTCGAATTTTACAAGGCCCCCGATTAGAGGGGAAGGTGAGGGGATGGTCCAGGCGTCTTCTTTTCTCGAATTCTTCCCCTTCTCCCTTTCTCTCTTTTCTCGATGTTTGTTTTATTTTATACTTTTTTTAACATTCAATTGGGTTTGCACGCGTTCTTCCCTCATTTCCCCCTGCATCTGTGTTTACTGAATATGAATGACACCTGACCCAACTGGGAATTTCAAGGAAAATATAGAATACATCTCCCATTACCGATGTAACTGAAATGATAATCGTGTTTATAAATGGCTGCCAAATGCGAGAAGTGAAACCAATAAGGAATGATATGAAAGCCAGCATAAAAATGTTACTTTGAAGTTGCTCATACCTGTTGTACGACGTACAGTACTTTGATAGGTTGAAGTCAATGTAGGCACTGCAGTTGATGTACTCGGTATATTCGGTACTGTGTGTTTATTTAGTATTTAAACATTGTTAAACATTTAAACTTCAATTCATAAATTAAATAAGCTTTTTACCGCATCAGAATTGAAAACTTTTTCTTTCCTTTTCTTTCCCAAAGATAATATTTAGAATGTCCTCTTTTTTAAATCAAAGTATGACACAATTTGCTTTAAGTTTCTTTCCTTCTCTTCTTCATCATTTTGGCAAATACATGGAGACAAAATTCGTCCAAAATGTTTTTTAAGATTTTCTTTCTTCAGATATATTTCAAATCGCTTTTTAACCTCAGTTATACCATTATTAATGACATTTTGGAGCCATAATTATCAAAATCAGAAATTTACAAGCCTATATCAACTTCTTATTAGATTGCACCCGTCTTCCTGTAAAGAGACTGTGTATCGCGTAGGGTGTTCTACAAGTGATAAGCATATGTATCATATGTATCATGTATGATATGGTAGAATGCAAATGCTAAAGAATGGCTATAAATTTATAGTTTCTTTATTATTTATTATTATTTATTATGTTTTATTATAATATGTTTGATTATGACTGACATAATCTAGACCCTACCCAGAGAGGAAGGGCATTTCCTAGGTTTACGGCGTTTCTTACATGGTCACACGAGGCTCTCGTAGTCACGTGAGGCTGCCTTATCGTGCATTTACACCCCTTTTAACCCCGGTGGGGTCACTTAATGTGACTTCCGGACCGCATGACCGTTACCAAAATCGCGGATAACGGGGTCAATTTCAAGCAATGTCCGCGGACAAAATATTCCTCGAAATAAAGAAAATAGGGGTACGCAGGTGTCCTCGAAATTGATAAATAGGGGTCAGAAAAAGGAAAAAGAGAAAACCGAGAAGGGAAAAGCGAAAACCAGGAAGAAAAATTCTTGGAGCCGAGTCTTGTCCTTAAAATATGGTAAAATAGGGGTAAATTTACGAAAGTGTCCTTGCAATCTTATCAATAGGGGTATTTCAAAGTACGATTATGTCCTTGTTTTGACGTAAAAAAGGGGGTTAAATGTTACAAAATGTCCTTGAAATTGACCGCAAAAGGGGGTTATATGCATTTGTGGTAACGGTCATGCGGTCCGGAAGTCACATTGAGGGCTTTTTACCCAATAATAGATTCGCCAATCATGCCATTGCTGTAATTGTACTCGCCTCTGAAGACTGCTATATATCCTGAGCCACCACAGCTCTCGGTAGGGTCTCCTGAACAAGGAGTCTGACAGTTAGCATCTGTTCCCACTCCATATTTAGAATAGTTATCACTCGCCTCACCACAGTAGCATTCATTTCTATTTTCAACTCCAGCGTATACGTAGTTAGCTGTGGTTGACTCGTTACAATACTGGATGCAATAGGAAATGGTCATATCTGGATCGGTAACTAAATTATTGCCGGATAAAACTCGATCAGCAATTACATCCACAAAACATCCAAGATAGCCTTCACCTGTACAAAATTAGAAATAAATAGCATAATATGGTACCAAACGCGTCCCGCATTTCATTGCCTTGCTCTCACACAACAAAGTATTATTAAGTCATCGTAGAGAAAGAAGGTTTATTTCACTTGTGATGTGTGTTGAGGTGTGTTTTTATTTTGAGAATGCAATCATATTTATTCTCGTTAAATTTCATAAATATATGAATATCCTTTTCCTCATTGTCAGGGTAACACTACACTCAGTTAAAATTCCGTTGTAATAAATATAGTACACATATACAAATATACCGGTGTGTTGGCTCAGTCAGTAGAGCGTCCGCCTCACAACCGGGAGGTCGTGGGTTCGAACCCCGGCCGCGTCATACCAAAAGACGTTAAAAGACGGGAGGTGCTGCTACCCATGATTGGTGTTCAACAATAAGGGGATAGAGCAACGTCGATCTGGCGCTGCTCAGTGATCAATTGGGCAAAAAGAATTTCCCTTTTCGGTTTTATAAAATTTGGAGTGGACTAAAAGATTATTATTATTTTTATTATAAAAAGGTTTTAGAGTTTTTCCAACATGAAAGTAATTTGTTTTAAGAATGATTTTGGAAATGAAACTTGAATCAGTTTCGTTTTTTTTTTTAAATTAGCCTTTAAAAGTCGGGCCATTGTTGTATTCCCTTTTAAACATATTCAAGTAGTCTTAAAAAAAGGGATACAAAATATGCTTACCCGTACCACCTCTGACGTTTGAAATAGAAGATATTTAACATTTCAAAATAGAATACGTTGGATCTTGTCATAAAAGTACCCCGGCTTCTCAATTAACGTTCCTTGAACAGAATTCCGGCCAACCGCCCTTATATAATACAAGCGCACGCGTGTCAATCCAACCACAATAATGATAGCATCCTACCGTTAAACCCATTTAACACGTGGATGGAGAGAAGCAATTACCAGAAAACGCCTTGCTCAATGACATAAGTGCCGTTTGAGGATCGAACCAACAACCTTCGCATAAGTGTTAAGCCAAGTCAAGAACCCATTTTCCGCAGATTATAAAAGAGCTTACGGTACACAGTTCTATGTTGAGTGGAATGAAATGTCATTACCATGACACGAAGCTGCTCCTGCTGTTGAACACATTCCATTGGAAACCAACGTACACCCAGCCAAATTATCTTCATCTGAAGAAGAAGAAAAAAACGCTTCTGAGTTAACTTGTGTCATTTTCTCTTGGAATCATAATCATTACAGATTACTGTACAGTTTATTTTATGTTGTTAATGTACAATAAACAAATTATACTTTTAAACATAAATAAAATCGAGGGTATATCAGTGGTCTCGCAACCGGAAGATCCCGAAACACAATCGATGTGCCAGTATGCTTTGATAAGAGGACTTGATAAGAGGACTTGAAGCCGTTGGTCCCTGGTTGCTTACTTTCAACCATACACATGCTTCCGCAAGTCGGGTATGAACAAATCTTTCAAACCAGGCAACAAAATACAACGACTGCATGACGCCATATATCTAGGGAAACCTTCGTGATTTTAGTGTAGATTTATTGAACTTTTCGTCATAACATGCATTTTGTTTGTGTTTTATCTTTAAAACGAGAATATTTCAACACATGTTTACGTTCTTCGTGTTAAACTTTTGTCCAATAGATCATTTGTAATGCCCTGTATCTACCAATAACTCGGTTTTTCACTGGGGTAAATAGCGTCTCATTCGTTATGCAAGTTTGATCAATAATTAAGTTTACTCACTTTTCTTCCCAAAATATAATGAATGATATAAAGAAATAGAGTTTGTTGTGCTAATTAAGGAAATGCTTACCACCATTACATTGCAGCCCTCCGGTGGGAGTTGAATTCTGTCCATACGGTGTGTCTGTTATTGCTATGTTCGCTCTTGCGAATCCCAACTGTCTGCAGATGACAATGACGTCATTGATACCAAGGTTTATTCCACACGTTGTCTCCCATGTCCCGTTGTTTTGCCTGATCTCAACCGTACCTTTATTGGACGTTGGACCATCAACAAGACGTACATCTATCACAAGAATTGAACCCAAAAATAATACTCGTTTTAAAAAAGGATAACTGTGAGCAGTATTCTTATATAATTATCATGATTATACTTACATAAGATTCATTATACATATACGAAAAAAGAAGGGGCCTTTGTCTTGCTAGAGAAAATAAGTATTTAGAATCACTAAATCACTAGCTCATTTAAAGAGGTGAGAGGCGGTTTGCTCCCTCCCCCCCCCCCCCCCCCCCCACAAATTTCCAATCATTGAAAAATATGAAGACTGACTTTCCAGTGAAATTAGCTAATAGTTCCAATATAGTAATCATTCCATTGCTGTAAAGACCTCACAATGTATGTAATACCTTTTTTTAATTGATGAAATATAATTGAATTTAAATCATTAGCCATATGAATTGATGTATGATGCATGCATTATTTAATTCGTACGCCTAAAACTGTCATCCAGAAGAGACTAGATAAAATGTTTGCTCGCTCGCTTCAGTTCATAGTTGTCGACACTGCAAAAATAGTTATTGTTATACTAATATACCAATTATATATAATCATATATATATATATATAACAGCCAAAACTGAACTTTCATTGATTGATTATATCTCTCTAGCATATTCTTCACTATGTTAAGTATCATTGGAAGGTATGTTTATTCCTTTTTTCAATTATACCCCTTTTGGTATGATTCTTCAGTCATGGAATGTGCATTACATCAAAATAAGGGGCAAGGGCAAACCTGAAAAGTTGCAAAATAAACTGCTCTTTTTCGACTATGCATTCTTCTTTTTAAGAAGAGAGTGTATGTGCGGATGCTATGTAGTGTACAGGGGCGGATCTAGCTTTTAGCCAAGGGGGAGGGTTGACCCCCCCCCCCCCCCCCAAAAAAAAAAAAAAAAAACACACACACACACACACAAAAACACAAAAATCGTGCCGTTTTACTGTTTTACTTTTTCTTTCTTTTTCACTTGGCCGGGGGGTTTAAACCACCGAGACACCCTCCTCCCCCTAGATCCGCCTCTGGTGTAATACATGATCAAACCAGTGCTTTACCAGGGCATTTTGTAACTGCACTTTTGACCCTGCATTATGATGAACTGCTCCTCCTATGGCGGCATAATCATAACACCTATACTATCATCTTAAAGAGGAATAAAACATAATTTTTGATCATGCTAGACAAAGCGATAATTATCCCATGATAACATAGATATAATCAATACAAATTGAGTTCCCATACTTTGTTGAGGGTTCAGATATTTACCTGATATCACACCATTGACGATGTGTTCCCCGCAATGTGCCACAAGAACTAATGTTATGAGTACGGTAAACCTCTCGACGGAAGCCATGTTTCCACAACAGCTCAATCTCAGTCAATGGCAGTCATATAAGGTCAAGCGATTTCATTGTGAAGGAAAATGCCTGGAAGCAATTCGAAAAAATGTTGATTACGTAGAAGAATTGATATACTTTGGGGTTTTTGTAATGTTACAAATATAATAAGACTGACTCAATCTTGCTGAAAGCCAATATGGCCACTGCACACAGAAGTGTGCATATAGGGCTACACAATATGTGGCAAGATCGAAGTGGAAGTTCGGTCCAAATTTGTCAGCAATTTCTCATCATAAATCGAATGATAGGGCATCAAGAGCAATCATTTTCAGGGACATTTCTTCTATGATAATCTGCCTAACTAACATCATACAGAATGAGAAAAGTGTTCACAAATTATTTGTCAATTTTACCAGAACTCAACCTCTTCTTTGACACAACGTACGTGGGTCGATTGTGATCTGAATTTAATGATATAAACTTTTTTGTTACACATAAAAATGTAAAGGTAAAACAAATAGTAATAATAATAATGATAATAAAGATAATCATAATAATAATTACAATAAAAATTATAGTGATAGTAATAACAATTATAATTCTAATAACAACAACAATAGTAACAATAATGATCATAATAATGATAATAATAATAGTTATAAGAATGATAACAATAACTATAACAATAAAACTGGGTCTTATTTATCCAGGGTAGCCACATTAGTATTAATACTGCTCTTGCAGGGAGCGATGCAATTATTGTTATTATCCCCAGCAAGTGCCAGGTACCCATGTATTTACACCTGAATGGAGAGTGACAAATTTGGATTAATGTCCTACCAGAATATCTTAGTGTGGGCTTAGATTCGAATATACAACCCTTGGAATTGTATAGGGTCAAGTGAATGTACCGGCCACTATCCATGAGCTATCTGATTCGAACTCTCAACTCTTGGATTGAGAGTCAACTGAAAGTACCACTATACGACGACTAATACTCATAATAATACAAGATGAAAATGTATTTCAACGAATCAAATCATATATACCTGAACACCTACCCTCGGCCAACAACTCTCGCTCCCTGACAATTACTACAGACATCTGCTCCCGGACAATTACCCCAGACATTTAACTTCGGACAATTAACCCATTTGGGACAATAGCAATGTGCACTACTTACATGTATATACTGTGAAGAAGATAATACCCTATAAGTATAAGTACCCCCACGATGAGTACACGCGTAGACCAAATTGCACTTCGGTTCACCAGGATATGTCCCTTTAATTATAATGATATCACAATATGAGGCATCACAATTCCGAGTTATTGTCTGATTTGTACTAAACCATTACTAAATTATGACAACGTGCCGTGTTAGTTTCTAAATTTGATATGATTGTACGGAAATAATAATACAACGGCAAAGTAGGCCTATTTTCTCAACTTTCCATTCTATACTGTAAATGCAAGTTTAAACAGACTGGTCAATGATTCACTGTAAAAAGAAAGCTATCATAATCTCTTATTAAATGTACAAACTAACTCTATAGGCATATGTACTTACTTTGTTGCAGTGACTTGGAACACATTGGTTCATCTGGTATACCAAATTCCTAAATTCATGTCCGAGATGTTGTAAAGTCCAATCGCACCAAACTTCTGTATCACTTTCAATAGCATTTGGCAACGGTGTGATATCATCACATATGGCTATAGTTCGGGTATAATAGTATTTCCTGTTCGCAGTCAACACGGAAATACATCATGCCCGGTGATTTTCGGTGCATTTTCGGTTTACTTTCTTTGTTTTGTCAGGGGTGTATATATATCTAGACTGTCTATTCAAATAGTTTTCTTTCAAAGTGCGAGACGGTGGTTTGTTGTTCTTTATTCAACCATGGCATTCCCGACAGCCTCCATATACAACGTACTACGTACGAGCGCTCTTGAAAATCTGCTTGTGCACATACACAATGTATACACCACGTACAGGTACGTGCTTGTACAGAAAACGGTATTGTATATCGGAGCCTTTTCAAGAACCCCTTTTCACAATAGAGGTGCTGAGCTGATGGATGTCACTTTTATACACAGAACTATACCAAAGTATATGAGCTCGTCAAGAAAATAGTATTGTATATCGGTACTTATTCAGGAACCCGTTAACAAAAGGGGTCATAATAACAATGCCGTTAAACATTGCTAATAGTAATTTGTCAAGTTTTACTTTCGGTTGAGTCTTGGATGCATGTTAGAAGAGGAACTGGAAGTACCTTGTTTTTGGTAGACGGCTTGCCAGTACGGTGTCAATTACGGAACTATCCTTTCGAGGACTTCCGCTGGGAATTTATAACAACAATGATTTTATTTGCCAAGGGAAGCCTCATCAGCTCCAATGCGGGCTTCCTGATTGCCCTGCAATTTTAATCATTACCCCAGTGACTGCAAAATTACACCCGGGTGGAGGGTGCGAAATGACATAAGTGCCAGAATGAGATTCGAACCCCCAACCCTTGGATTGAGAGTCAAGTGAATAAACCACTATACCACAGCACTTTTAGAGACTTAAGAGCAATTTCAGAATAAACTAACTCAAATTTTTTTCCAACTATCCCTTTGTTGCCCAATTCTTCATCATTGGAGCAATTAAAATCCAAATACTGGTTCAATTTTTGAGTCTTTGATCCTAGCTCTGACCGTATCCTTATACATAACGGTAAACCGTACTGTAAACCTAACCCTAACCCTAAACCCAACCATTTGCGTTGAACGTCAACGTCCATGGTTATTCTCAAGTTATAAGCCAGTACTTAATAATGTCAGAAGATAGTAATCTATTTCTTCTTTTTTTGCGGCCTGTGGTACAGCCTCTATCTCGTTATATTTACTAACTTATTCAACATTTTGGAGAATAAAGATAGACTGGTTGAAATTAATGCGGGTAAAATAATCTTACGAGATGATTTTTGTATTACTATTCTGTAATGAGCTCCAAGCGAAGGATATATTGTAGTTTGTTAAAAGAGAAATGTATTTGTCTTGTTTGTTTGTTGGATGGTAGGTTTGGAGGTTGGTTGATCGGTTGACTGGTTGGTTTGAAGGTCGGATGGTTGGTTAGATGGTTGGTTGAGGAAATGGTTAGTTGGTTGGTTGGTCAATTGGTCCATAGTGGGTTATTTGGTTGCTTGGTTGAATTTTTCTTTTCATTTTTTCTTGGTTGATGTGTTTCATAGACGCACTGGGAGAGAAATTCCTAGATTACTTAAGAATTCATTTTTAGGAAAATTTTCTCTCGGTTTGTTTGTAACTATTACACTTTAAGGTGTGTCACTCCAAAACTGCCTACCACTAGACACAAGAAATCCTCATTTGTTGCTGTCTTCAAAGTGTTGTTGAAGACGGATTTGTTTTCAAAAAGCTTTCAATCTGTTGTTTGTTTTGTGACTGTAAAGTAGCACTGGTTGGGATTTCTTTCTCATCACAACACAGTGTATATTTCTATAGTAGCTGCGCTATATAGATTGATCAAATTTTTATCAATTTGTTATTGTTTACCTATATATCCGCGTTGGGTTGATTTTGCACTGTAGCACTCAGTAATGGTGTAGAATGAGGGATGGTTGACACGTTTCCTCTTTCACTTTGCCTGCAGACTGCTTCCGAACTCCGTCTGGTTAGAGGAAATATGCGAAACCTCCTTCACAGAATTTGAGATCGAGTTTAAAAGGCATTCTGTTATTAAACTGATGTCATAAAATGTCCATGACCTGTTGCACTTACAGCGGTTTCGAGAAATTGGACCGTGTTTCTGGTAAACATTTATGGTTGGAAAAAATTATCCCCAATCCTCCTCTGGCCAAACTCCATCTACTATTAGACAAAGCTATTGGCCCGAATTCACAAAGGGGGTTTGTCGACAAACCTAAGTTTATGTGCGTTATATGACGCATTTCGACGCGTTTCAAACCAAGGTTTGTCGACAAACCTCCTTTGAGAATTCGGGCCATTATGATTGAAATAGGGCTCTGGGATGAGCTGACTGTTCATTACGTTGTTTTATATCTATCATTTGATGGTATACGTATTGTATACATGCTTATATTTAAAACAGAAATAAACCATATCAAATCGAATGAAAATCATTAGCATGTAATAATTTGCATACGTTATAGTGAGACGGGGTGGAGCTAAGCCATTCTGAATAGAGGCGGACACACTTTCAGAGGGAGTATTTTGTTTCGCCAGCCATAACAGTCGTCGGTAGAAAGCCTACCAGGTAGCTTTGCATTAGGCCACGTAAGGAAATAACGTGATTCATATGATAGCAATTACTTTTTTAACCCGTGGGTAATTTTACTGTATTCATGTTCGTGTGTACATTGACTGTATATTCAACAATGATGTGTAATCGTCCATGACCTAGCATCGTTTATCCATTCATGGTTGAACCTGCGTTCAATCAGCAGATCTATGAGATTTATTGTATTATTACCAACGCTCCTTCTCTCCCCTTTCCTTTTCTTCTCTGCAAGTCACACTCTTTTTTATTTATATTTGTATGAGGGCTGCGGGCACTTCAAGCTACTTTGCTTATTTATGTAGCCCTCCTGCATCTAATTATGCATTAAATATATTTGTTTAATTTTGTTTATAATCTGTATAAAATTATATACACTTAAAATATTGTATCAAACCATATTATGTTGATGCAAATGTATGATGAAAAAAAAAAAAGATGCAGAAACCAATAAATCAAATTAAATCAAATCAAATCAAACTATGCAATACTTGGTAAGGCATGTCTCTTTCATCCTTCTCTCTCTCTCTCTCTCTCTCTATCTCTCTCTATCCCTCTCTCCTTCCCTCTCTTTCCCTCCCCTCTATCTTTCTCTTCCCCCTCTCTCTCCACCTCTTTATTTCTCTCCCTTCCCCCATCTCTCTCTCGCTATCTCTCTCTCTCTCTCTCTTCATCTCTTCCCCTCCCCCCTCTCTCTCTCTCTCTCTCTCTCTCTTTATTACCACTCCGCCTCGACCCACCTACTCTCTGCTTGGCAACTTTGGTCCCAAATATACTGTGTATTTCATTTAAACTTTCACATTTTGGACCAAACGGGCAACGTGTTTTTTTGTTTTTGTTTATTTACTTAGTATGTCTACTGGATACATGTATATAATGGAACCTCCTTCACCTTCAATTTTAAATCTGTTGGGAGAGCTGACAAAAATGAATATACACCTGATGATGAAAGTAAAATAACAATCTTAATTCTTCATAACCCCTTTTAAAGTGCAAGATAAAAAACACTGCATGTGCTCTAAAATCGAATATATAACTTCTTCTACTGTACAACTCACAAAATTATAGGAAACTATGTCTAATGTATTTCATATTCTATGCGATAATCCTTGACAACTGCGCTTAGTCATAATCATAATTGCTACATTGTATAGTATATCTTCTTCTACTAATAACTCACGAAAGTATTAGAAATTATGTCTAATGTATTTCATATTATATGCGATAATCTTTGACCAATGCGCTTAGTTATAAGATATTAACATTATCATAATTGCTACATTGTATAATATATGGATAAAGTAAATGATTAGAGAAAATGATACGATAGTTTTTGTGAAATATTTCAGTGAAATTATGACTCTTTGTGTCATGCATTATACAAAAGTCAAACAACTCTATGACTAGAATGATTAAGTATCCATCTGCTACAAACATACCATTATACCGCTAAAAACATCCATCTATGCATTTAACTATTGTTCAATACACAGGTATATGTATATATATATATATATATATATATATAAGCGTGCATTAAGAATAATCCATAATGTCTACTTTCGTTCCCATACTAACCACTTATTTTTACAAGACAAAATTCTTAAAAATTATTGATTCGTATTCCTGGCACCTCGGCATCTTTATGTTCCAACTAATTAATAACGAGTTACCTCTCCCGATTTCCTCCATTTTTAGTTTAAAAATAACGAGATACATTCATACCCCACTAGACAGTCGAACCACTTCCACACTCCTCGAATGAGAACAGCTTTCGCACAAAAAAACAATTATTTACACCGGTCCAGTATTTACATAGATGGGGGCTCGAGCACTCCGACCCCCGTCGTTCCGCGGGCCCTGATAATCATATTTTAACATAGGCCTATTAAATCGCATCATATCGTATCTTATCATACAAAATATCATGTCATGTCATGTCATATCAAAATAAAATCAATTCAGATCAAATCGATTTAAATCATATTAAATCAAATGAATCAACTCAGTTTACATAGAAATAATAAATCCGGTTTAGATTTATCATCATATGGATGACAACAAACTGTTAAAATAAAAAATAATAACAACTTAGAATCATTTATAACCAGGAGAGTGCATCGAAACAATATTCAATTTGATTTTGCATTAATTAAGCACGGCTCATCGCCTCAGCCATATTGGCAATCCGATCGGGACCACGTGTTATGTCGTCATCTTAACTGCGGCAAATTTGACCCCTGTTGACCCATAATTTGGAGGGGGTGCGGGAAACGAGGCTTTAATTTCCTTTGGTGCAATACTGAAAGGAATAATATTAAGAGTTTGCACCTCAAACTCAAACGGTAGGCCTCAATACTCAATACTATTTTATTTGACTATGGTTTTTTCTATTCTTGCGTAAGGGCAAGTCCTTTTGATGATAACTCGAACCTTTGAATGTGGAAATTTTCCTTTCTTCATAGAAATAGGGTATCAGATGTTTACTGTGCAAAAAACGCGTATTTTGAAAGACGACTCTTGTTTTGATTTGCAAGGAACCCGCATTCAGAAGTGACGTTGGAGGGCGACAAACACGAGAGTAAGCAAAGCACAGAGATCAACGAAATACATTGGTCCAAGTAAGTCAAACTAACAAACAAAGAAATAACAATAATAATAATGATAATATTAATGATAATAAAATAATTATATTGATAATTATAATGATAATAATCAGCGAACTGTTTATTGTCCAGCGCCATCGCATGGTCAACTTACAAACAGTGCTTTACCCAATACCTAATTTCCACTGAGCAGACACAGGACTCGATGCAAAAACCAACAGCGCAGGTAAGGCCAGATCACCTAATTCGTTCCGATGACGAATTAAATTTCTCGTTTGGGACCATACTGCTGCAGCTGACCTGAGATGGGACTATATGGGAGTTTGCAGTAGTGCTTCTAGTACAGTCTGGCTTTAAAGCTCACCCTTGCTTCGGCTTAATACTGTAATGATACATATTCAATCAAAACTCCCTCTTGCAAGATCAGTACTAATAAAACTAATCATAAAAATTATCCTTGTTTATCACAGTTGTAATACCTAATCTATTCGAAACCTTGATATTTACTGGCCTAACGCACCCTAAATCCTATTAATTATAAAAAGAATGACAAAATTAACAACAACAACATCAACGATTATATAACAGCCTATAATATTTTGACAAGACTCGCTACATGTATAACTTTACTTCATGATATACAGTCAAACTTGTCTTCATAGCCACCTATCTGTATTGCTATGCATCTTGTGTCCCTTATGCAAGCTAAGTGTGTTGTAGAAGCTGTCTATAGAAAGGCAACCCTATTACAGCGTGTGGCCATTTTTTCCGTTGAGTGACCTTAATAGACAGGTTTAACTGTATTTAAAGCCACACTGTCCTACTTGTAGCTACTTGCTCCCTCTATATAGAAAACAATGCTTAATCGGTGACCATTGGTCCCCCATGATCCTCTTTTTCTTATGTTATTTGAGAGCTGAGTTGATGAGATAACCACCTGTGCAGTGACCTTGCAGGGTGCTCTAATCCCTCCTATAAACTAGTACAAATAAGCTTTAAAGCTCGTTCTGGGTCATACTCGGTTCAATCGGCAACTCGTACTCCGGCTCAGTATTCTCATTTGCTACTCCCAAGTTTGATTTCTTCACTCTAGCTATTTGCTCCACTATTCTTTGATTACCATATTCTACGCCCTCGATTGAAGTTGTGTGGCCTCTATTTTCGTGTCTAGTTGCGTTGATGTCCTCGTAGGCTGGTTGCTTCATAGTTGTTGCATCTAATGATGTGTAGGGATCGAGTTCTTGGCCTTCCCTGTCACTGACTGACGGTTTTAGAGCGATTTTAGAGCGTCTGACATGGAGGAAAGAAAGATTATTAGGGAAACATAACATAGTTGTGTTATAGCATCAGCGTCTCCTGTGTAATAAGTCAAATTGTTATTATTATTTTATGAATTTGATTATAACTATGATATAACTATTATTATGCGTATCGGGCGATTGTGGGTGTTTATGAATGCTGGGGCGCTATGGAAGACGGGGGCGGTGGGCTTGGTCTATATCTCACCTGAGATGCAGGTACATCAATGTTATGATGATACCATACAAGGTAACAAAAGCGAGTAGTATGCCCACAGCGAGAGTGCTGGCGATTTCTGAAGAGAAAAAAATTAGGAAAGGATTTATAGACAATAGACCCATTTACACATCGTTTACACCTTTTCTTTTTTCTTTTTTTTTTGGTACTGCCTTTTACATCCTATTTTTAATCGGATTTTGCTCAAACTTTCACTTACCTATTCCTCTAATTTTCTGCTTCTATAAAAGTTCAATTTAAATCAGGGTGGACTTCCCCTTTACAAATTACATTTGAAAACAATAAATTATAATGATAGCTTAGTTTTACTTCCTTTCCATTGCTTTGTTATTGTTTTAGTTGTTCTATTTTGTTAGCTTGTTAACATTGTTCAGATGAGAGATAATGGTGCTAAGGTAATGACTTTAATGCTAGATGTACAATTAAAGATAATCTGAAAGTTTGAGTGAAAACAGATCACTATTCATGATACAAATTGGGAAAAACTGATCTGATGAATTCCATAACTCTCCCAACTATTTTATTACAATTTAATTCGATTTTGGGTGGATGTAAATCGTAACAAAGCAATGAATCAGCTATATATACCATTCCAGACATTTTAGGTTAAAACGATCTTTTAAAGCCAGTTTTAAGTCTTATTTTCATAGAAAAACGGTTTGAAAAATTCAGAAAAAGTTGTGAGAGTTTACTATTCAACGCCTTCAAAGAAAACCATAAATATCTTTGTGGTTTGAGTTTTTTCAGAATTCTTTTCATGTTAGAGGGTTAGTATAGTATAAGGAATATATTAAGTAACATTTCATACAAAAATTACGCAGTTTTTTTTATTAACCTACAACAATGTTACCGAGTCACTTTAATATACAATTTCGTATACTAGAATTGACAGTTATTAAAATCATCATAATCGAATCTTTGTATTAAAAACCGTTATAGGACCAAAGAACTTACTTTTTATATCATGGCTAACTATACAATAACTGAGGTTCATTGATTTGTTTTGTTTTATGTTCACCGTGAAGTTTGGTCACGTGTGAAATATAGAGAGGTCGCCATACCTAAAGATATATGATCGGCAGTTTGCATATGTCCTAATTCGCTGAGACCATGCAGACTTGGTGGAAATACTACTGATGGTATACGAGTATTACGCGCAGCGAATTAGATTTTCCCCCAAGAAATACCCCGTCCCCCACCCCGGTCTCTCGGAGAGTCTTTGCGTGGACGAAACATATGATGATGGCTTTTCATAATGAGGCGATAGGTGGAAAGTGCATAGTGCATTACATAAGACATGTTGATCGAAAAATTGAAGGCCACTTCCAGAGTTTGATAACTATTATTATCTATTATCAGATAAATACCCGAATTCGCGTGATCATGCTTCTGTACCAGGAATCAGAAATCCATTTATTGTACGCTTTCACCGAAATGTTGCGCAATCAAAAAAAAAACATTACAGCAGCCGGGGAACGATATCGGTAAAATACAAGGCCTTTAATATTTCAAATGCACGCAATTCAGAGAAAATCCCGATGTTGACGAGCTTGATCGCGATTGCTTTGATTCTTACCAGTTTTAGCATCCACTTGACACGATGTTGATGCAAAAGTAGAAGAAGTATCAGCAACCGTAGTAGGAGGAGGCGTTGACTGGAAAACTACTTCTAATGAATACAAAATTGTTGTTTCAGCAGAAGAAGTGGGTGAAGAAATAGATTCAAACACATTCTACAAATGCCATATTTTTGAATATGACATGTTATAATAGTGATAGCTCATGATACCATGCAAATATCAATTACGCCCAAATATTTATGCTGTGTTGAACGATCAATATTCCCGCCCCCCCCCCTCCCCCCCCCCCCCCCCCCCCCCCCCCCACTCAGAGGTCGGAATGACCGCATGCGTGTTGCCAAAATGTCCGGTAAAGGGGTACCTTTCGTGCGACAAAGTCCGGCCCGAGAATTGTAAAAAAAAAAAAAAGGGGTGTATATGACTTTTCACCCGGAGATTTCTTTAAAAAGGGGGTGTTTTTCTTCTTTTTTTCTCTCATCTCTCTGGACTCCTGAGAAATTATTCCGAAATTAGGGGGCTACATTGAGCATTTTTCCTGATTTAGGGGGGTCTGCAAGGCAGGAAAAGCCCGCGAAAAGCCCGCGAAAGGAGGGGGGGTTCGGAAATGTTGGCAGTCCTCAGATAGGGGGTGCTTTCAAAAAGAGGGTACGAGCATATGCGTACCCTAAATAACACTAAGTGGGGGGCCGGGTCAATATTAAGTACATACTGTTAAAGTTTGGTTCACGTGTTCTCGGTCACATACTCGCAACCATGCAATCAGGGAGACGGTCTTTGTTTTGTTTTTGTTTTTTTAAGGACAATGAATATCCAAAAGTGAACAGATAAGGCCAAATATTCTGCCATAACTCCGATTAAGTCCGACTCCACATGACAAAATGCGTTGCAAAGGCCTATGAAAGACCGGTATGAAAATGATATTATTGAGGTGTTGCACGTAATGGCCTCGGTCGAGTTAGAGTCGGTTTAAAATTAATTTAATACCTTGATTGAGGTTTATACACGGATAGTCAAAAATCGCTACGGCTAGAGTCGGTTTAGAATCGGTTAGTGGAATGGTTGAAGTCAGTGGCCCGGGCGCCCTCCCCCGGCCAAAAAACACTTAAATTTAACTCTTTTTTGTTTAAAAAAAGAAGACGGGGCCCGAGAAGATATACCCCCCCCCCCTTCCCCACTGAGCGAAAAGTCGGTCGGCGCGATTTTCAAATTAAACACTACCCCCCCCCCCCCCCCCCCCCCCAGCTGAGTGAAAAATTGGACATCATGATTGAAGTGGGGTCCTTTTTGGCCCCCTCTCTTGCGACCAGGTGGATCCGCCCCTGGCTGAATGATCTTCGGTCGGCTTTGGAGACCATTTAAAATCGGGTTAGTGGTGTAACTGAAGTTTTATTTACAAGTCACTCAATCACTTTTGGCAATGTTTTGTATTCCGTCCGGTATCTCCAGTTTAATAATTATTAATATTCTTTACTATTACTATTCTTTGATATATATCTAAACCTCGCGCAAGACTAGTCTTGCGCGAGGTTTAGATATATATCAAAGAATAGGCCTACTCACTTCTAAAGACAGCTATGTGTAATGTCCCACCACAGCTCTCGGTAGGGTCTCCTGAACATGGGATCTGACAGTTAGCATCTGATCCCACTCCATGTCGGGCATAGTCATCACTCGCTTCACCACAGAAACATTCACCTCCATTTTCAACTCCAGCGTATACATAGTTGGTTCCGTTAGAGCGATTACAAAACTGGATGCAATTGGAAATGGTCAATTCTGGATCGGCAACCAAACTATCTCCGGAAAAAACTCGATCATTCGATATGTCCACAAAGCATCCAAGATAGCCTTCACCTGTAAACCCAATTTTTTTTTTTTTTTTTTTAAATAGGATGTCATCATAGAAAGAGTAAGATATATTCATTTTGTCATATACCTGTCATACCTGATTGTCCTTTTCTGCATGGTCAGGGCTACACTACACTCAATTGAAATTCCGTTTTAATAAATAAAGTACACACATTTATTCAAAACAAATCCAACTTACTACAGGATGCGTGAAAGTACTTTTTTAAAGAATGATTTTGATTTTTTTTTTCTTAACTTCTCAATTATCGTTACTTGAAGGGCATTCCGGCCAACCACTCTAGACTTATTTAAGAGCATACGTGTCAATCCTACCTCAATAATGTTTGCATCCTACCGTTACACACATTGTACACCTTGGTGGAGAGAATCAATTTAGAGAAAGGGCATTGCCTAACGACAAAAGAGCGGTGTCGGGGGTTTGAAGCGATGGCCTTCACATCTGCAGTCAAAGTTTATAAGTCATTGAAGTACCCCTTTTCCGCAGATTATGAAAAGGCTTATGATACAGATTTCTATGTTGATTGAAATGAACTTTAATTACCATGACACGAAGCTGCTCCTGCTGTTGAACACGTTGGACTTGAAAACAACCTACACTCAGTCAGATTAGCTTCGTCTGAAGAAGAGAAAAATACGCTTTGGAGTTAACTTGAAATGATAGTCATTACAAATTACTGTAAAAATTGACTTTACGTTGTTAATGATTTTGAAATAAATCAGGAGACATGGACATAATATACAATAAAGAAATCCTACCTTTAAACATAAATCATGTTCTGAAAATCGAAAAGTATTGTATGTGGTTGATGGTTTAAAACGACACAGAATTGTACAACTCAATTGTACAATCACAATCATTTGCTTTTATTTTGGACCATATTCCATACTGTATTTTGTATTATTGTTTGTCATTTTTTATGGTTATAGTTATATAAAAATATCTTGAACAACTCTATATACTCTACAGACAAGATGGCTCAGTGGTAGAGGGTAGAGCAGTGGTCTCGCAAACAGATATACCGGATCGGAAACAAGTTCGAGCTAGTACCTTTTGATAAGGCATTCATCATTATTACTAAATTCCTTGGAGAGGACTGAAAGCCATTGGTCTTTGGTTGCTTACTTCCAAGCATATTCATGCTTCCGCAGTCAGGTAAAAACAGATCGTTCAACCACACCAACCAAATACAACGACTGACGCCTTATATCGAGGGAAACCTTCGTGATTTTAGTCTAGATTTATTGACCTTTTCGCCATAACAATCATCATTGCAATGACGACCTTCGTCATTGCCTTGTTTTCGTTCACATTCTGCTCCATTAATATTCTTATCCTGGTTTTCCTTATCGTCCGGAAATCCTATTCGTTTTGCACGTAGTGCTTGCTATTCCTAGTTAGGTGTCTTCCTCATGTCCTTTTCCTTTCAAATTTCGTAGACATCATCTCTAACATCTCATCCAGGTCACTATGTTCTTCGATTTTCAAAATCACTCATGCATAACCGTCAAGGCGCCATTTTGTCCGTTTCTGGTCTATTTTAAGGCCTTTATTTTTTCCTTCCTATCTCCACTATCCTAGATCCTACACATTTCTAACAAATTCCTCTAGATAGTCTAAGAAATGTTCTTTCATCTGCGACGCATAACCTGACCTTCAAAATGCCATCTTTGTACTAAAATT